ACAACGAAAGGATACTGCGACCACACAAAAGGCCACACCATCTTGGTCTTCATATCTTCGATCAAACTATATTTAAAGTTCCACGCAGATCACTGTCATCTATCTACTTTTAATCTAATATTTTTCAAAATTCGTAGGAATTCCTTATTGAAAATTACTTGGAAAAGAGCATTTAATACCACTGAATATGATCTTTGAGTGAAAAAATATATTTTGGACTGATTACTAACTTTCTGGCATAATCTCTATCTGTACAAGGAATTATTTACCCTAGGTTGAGTTTAGCTCTCACAGTGATATGAATAGGCCCCAGGATACCATTGAATTTCACCTAGTCTTGCCCCCCAAGATACTATCATATACAGGGTTTCAATCGAACGAGCAATGTCGTGAATACATTAGTACTCCACTATATGACCACGGATGCTAGTTGACTTCAGGATACTTTTCAGCTCTATTAATTGGAATAAAATACTTATGAATTATAAAATTGATATAAATTCAATTAATAAATGTGATATTTGCTGATCATGAGTTATCGACCGAATATTTGTTAACATATACTTATTCTGCATAATAGGATATTTTTACATGCAATTTATCCGAATATATTTAGTCAATCATTTTATAATTCTGAATGAATACTTTTGAAGTATCAAAGAATCTTTCTAAAGGTTTTTGGACTTTTTAAATAAGGTTTTATATTAGAATAATACTTAAATACCTTTTTATTTTTAGACCAGTTTCAAGAGATACTTCACAAAACTTCTTCGAACTCCGCTTCACCCACTAAAAGTGATACACAGAATGGTTGCGCCGATGCCAGAGGCTTGCTACAGTATTGTCAACAGGCCTGCCAATTACTTTGTTCGTCAACTCGTAACGTGTGCTTGGCTCCTGTTCACCATATTCTTCACCAAGTTCCAACTCTTTCGATTTGGCGAGAGTCGCTTGCCAGTGGTGCCCCAAGATTGCCAGACCTTGCATATCTACCCCAGGAATATATTACCCAAGTGCATCCTTGACTTTTTTGTGGATATATATATATATATAATTAGTAATTTAGCTTACTAACAAATTCAATTTATCACTCGAGGGCTGAATTTATCTTCGTTTAATTGATTAGCATCTACTGTACTTAGACTAGATGGTATATCAAGTAGTCTAGAGAATTTATAAATAAACATATTTACATAATGTATAATATACATATGAAAGATAGCTGTTTACCGATTTATCTTTGGTGATGAGATAGCTATAGTAACTAGT